GGACAATTCAATGTCCTTAGAGGATTTGTATAACTTGAAGCAGTCTGAAGCTTCCAATTTAGAGTTAAAGATCAAGAATAGATTTAATCTTTTTACTGCTAGTCTAATTACTGTAAGCTCTACAGGAGACGTACCACAGTCTCAAATAATGACGCCACTAGCTCTCGCAGTCTAGGGTTAGTCAAATAGTGAACTCGTGCACTATACCAAGGGCGTTTCCCTTCAGGTTATTTGAAAGTCAGAGGCTCTACTGTGCTTAAGGAATTTCCTAGGCTTTAAAGAAAGGAGTCTATTCTCTGAGAGCTAAAGAGCTCAGGGGATTAACTGCAGGTTTGCTGCTAGCTAAATCCTTGAGAGTGTGTGTGGTGCTTGGTGGGTTCGTGTTCGTGTCTCTCAGAGAACCTCTCCTATTTATACCTTTCAGCCTGTTGTTCCTTAGCCAATAGCAAAACTGGCTCTTCTATTCTACTGTAATTACTAAGCTACTTCTACTTTTATTAATAAGCATTTTGTCTGTATTAGTCAGCCTTCTGTCTGTTTTACTAATGTATTGGTAAGCTATTACTAATGTTTGTTAGAGTATTACTATATTTTGGTAATTCATAACTGTTGAGCATAGACCTTTACTAAGCATAGTTTCTAGATTACTAAGAAGCTGAGTCATATTATTAGTCATTGATTCACTTTTAGTAAGCTTAAGTGTTTATGCTTACTTTGCAGCTCTGAGTAAGCGGTTTCTTTTTTTGATTTGAATACCTATTATTCCTTTAGTTTTCCTATACTTATAATTATGGTGCATGACAGCGCGGCATCAGCTACAACCTCTACAGCTCTTATCGCGAAGGGCACCGCCAAGCCGAAGCGGAAATCAAAGTTCCGGAAGGGCGTCATGTGTCACAACTGTCAGAAAGAAGGACACATCAAGGCTGAATGCCGATCAGCCAAGACCCAGACTTCCGATAACAACGGCCAGTCTAGCACATCGAACGCGCATGTGGTCGAACTCACGGACAAATCCGACTCGTACGCCTTCGCATCGTGTGAAAGTACACCCGCTTTTGTCGCCAAAGGCGAGACCTGGCTCGGGGACACTGCCGCCGAGCATCATATCGTACGTGATCGCACAGCGTTCGTGACTTACGTCGTGACACCAGGCAGCACCATCACAGGTGTTGGTGGCGCTTGTGCCGCATCGGGCCGTGGTGATGTGCGTGTATTGTTCGCCACCAAGGCCGGGACCGTGCCTGTCACTTTGAAGGACGTCCTGCACGCGCCGTCTATGCAATATAATTTGTTGTCGCTGGGTCGCATGACCAGCGCCGGCATCAAATTTATTGGTGAAGGGGACGGGCTGTCTCTAGTCGACAGTACCCGAATCATCGGTACCAGGCGGAAGGTCAGTGATCAGCTGTATCATATGGATTTGAGAATCCGCCGCCCGGCACCGTCCCCCACGACCTCTGTGTCATGAGCACTCGCAGTGCGCACCACTCGTACTTGGTACGAGTGGCATTGCGCACTGGGTCACATTAACCGAGGCCAGCTGCAAGAGATGCAGAGACTGGGCCTGGTTGATGGGATGATGGTTGACACCGCATCAGACCCTGAATTCGAATGCGAGACATGCATTCAGGCGAAGCACGCGCGCGCTCCGTTCCCCGAAATTGCCACTACCCGCATTCATCAGCTTGGCGATCTAATCTTCTCTGATATCTGGGGCCCTGCGCAGATCACATCACTGCAGGGCAACCTTTATCTTATCAGTTTCACTGATGCTGCCTCCCGGTATGTGATGATCGCATTCATGAAAACACGCGACGCCGCCCTTGATCGTTTCAAGAAATTCGAGCAACTTCTTGAAACACAGCGCTCCCGGCGCATCAAAACCATACACGTGGACAATGCCAAGGAGTACACGGAAGGCCAATTCAAGGCCTACCTCAAATCTCGCGGCATCATCTATCGCACCACGGCACCCTACTCGCCTCCGCAGAACGGCGTTGCTGAACGTCTGAACCGCATGCTTGCTGAACACACACGTGCGATGCTTATCGCGCACGAATCCCCTAAGTTCTTGTGGCAGGAAGCTTTCGCTTACGCCTGTTATCTTAAGAACCGGTCCCCGATCCGATCACTCCGAGGTGTGACGCCATACGAGCTATTTTGGGACAAGCGTCCCGATCTCCAGGATGCTCAGGAGTTTGGTATACCCTGCTGGGTGCTCGTCCCGGACAACAGACGCACTGGAAAACTTGACGCCAAGTCTGAGAAATACCACTTCACTGGAATCAGCGATAATAGCGCAGGTTGGCGCTATTATGCTCCAGGTATGCGTCAGATTTTGGTCTCGCGCAATGTGATCTTTCAGCGACAGCGCGCGGCACCTATTCCCCTCGTTGACGGAAGCTCCGCGCTTGAGGGGGAGAGTTCTACTAGTACGCCTACATCAGTTTCTACCAAGCCCGAAGCTCCCGCCATCACCAAAACGTCACCGCAGACCCAGACACCTGCGAAATCACTCCAGGAACCAGCCTCTGTGCCGGCGCCCGTCCGCGCATCAACCCGCGCCACAAAGCGTGTCGATTACCGGCAACTTCACGAGACCGGTAAACAAGTCCCCGCTGATCCGTCTCCTACTGCCCAGGCACACATGGCTTTCGCCGCCGCCGATTTCGACAATCCGCGGAATATCGAGGAGGTGCGGCAGCGGAAGGACTGGCCGCAATGGGATGCGGCCATGGATGCGGAGATGTCACAGCTCAAGGCCCGAGGGTCTTGGGAGCTGGGGGACTTACCAGAGGGACGAAAGGTGGTCGGATGCCGCTGGGTGTACGCAATCAAGCGCGACACTGACGGCTCGATCATCAAATACAAGGCGCGTCTTGTCGCGCAAGGCTACTCACAAATCCCCGGACAGGATTATTTCGCGACCTATGCACCGGTCGTGCGACTTGAGTCTTACCGCGTTTGCGCCGCTATCGCCACCGTCTCTGATCTGGACGACGACACCATAGACTACAAAGGCGCCTACCTCAACAGCACACTCGAGGAACCCATCTACATGCGCCAAGCGCCCGGCTACGATGACAGCTCCGGGCGCATCTACGTCATGATCAAAGCAATTTACGGCCTGAAACAGGCCGGCTGCGTCTGGAATGATTTGCTAAATCATGTCCTGGTCTCCCTCCTGGGCTTCACGCGTTCAACTGCAGACCCGTGTGTATACTACAAACCTGCCACGTCGCTAACAATGGCATTACTCCATGTAGACGACACCACACTGTACGGAAAGCGCAAGGCACTCAACGATCTCAAAGCCGAGATCACCAAGCATTTCACTATCACCTCCTCGGGAGGTCTGAGAACCTTCGTCGGTCTTCAGATTGATCGCAACCGCGCTGCCCGCACTTTCACCCTCCATCAGACACGCTATGTCCAGACCATCCTCGAACGTTTCGGGATGCAGGACTCCAATCCCGTCGCCACACCGCTTGACCCGAATGTCAAGCTCGCGCCGCTCTCTGACGGCGAGGCGCCCGTTGATGCGCCCTATGCTGCTGCCATCGGCTCCCTTATGTACGCCGCTGTTAGCACCCGTCCGGACATTGCATTCTCCCTCCAGACGCTATCTCAATTCACCACGCGCCCCTCTCCCACGCATTGGACAGCCGTCAAGCATGTCCTCCGCTATCTCAAGGGCACCGCCGCCCTCGGTCTCACTTACGGTCCTGACATCAAGGGTCTGATCGGGTACTCAGACGCCGATTGGGCCCAGTCCCTCGCTGACCGCCGCTCCGTCTCCGGCTATGCTTTCCAGCTCGCCGGCGGCATCGTCAGCTGGAGCTCGAAGAAGCAGACCACCGTCGCCCTTTCCACGATGGAAGCCGAGTACATCGCCCTTGCGCATGCCGCCAAGGAAGCTGTCTGGCTCCGCCGCCTTCTCGACGAGCTCAGCACTTCCTCGGACTCTCCCACGACCGTTCACACGGACAATCAATCCGCTATCGCATACGCACACGACCACCAATTCCACGCCCGCTCAAAACACATCGACATCCGGCATCATTTCCTCCGTGATCTCATCGACGCCGGTACTATCTCCGTCATTCACTGCGCCTCCGAAGACAACGCCGCCGACATGTTTACCAAGGCGCTCGCTCGCCCTACTCACACCTGGCAGCTCTCCCTCGCGAACATGACTGCTCGTTGAGGGGGAGTGTTGTAGTATCTGAGGCGCCGGATGCGCATCAGCCGCGCCGGTAGGGATACCGACATGACGCGCTTAGGTCGTCATGCCCAATATGGATCTGTCATGCCCGTTTTAGATATGACCCGCGCAGAGCACTCTCGGCTCTGCGCCCTCGTTATGCTTCCTCTTAGTCTCAGCTTCCTAAGGTACATTTTATTGGTCTGACCAGATTAGGAAGTAGATAACCTATATAAGAACATGTAGTATTATTTTTGGATTTTATCCTTGATTACTCGTGAATCCCCCGCCTGCGCGAAGTCTTTCACAACAAGCTGAGAGAAGTGAAGGAATTGGCGATACGAACGCCAGGCGTGAGATGGTCTCGGCCGTGGCCCTGAGGCCTTGGGGCCTGACAGCTAAACTTTGCCAGCGATGCCGTTGCTGATTTCCAGCGCTGCGGGGGCACACCAGAGCGGACTTAACAGGCCATCTAATCCCTAGACGCGTCGGCAGACCAGCTTTACCTATGGTAGAAGAAAAGACATTCGCTCACGGCCTGCGCTGCCATTAGTCGACAGGTCCGTTAGTGACTTTCGACATTCCAAGGTCCTCCGACATTCATGCTATCAGCACCTCCTTTTTACAAAATGCTTGGACGACAGCAGTACTTGAGTGAGGAAGTGATGTGCACGACGCTATCACTACTCGAAGTGTCAGAGATAGAGAGGAAGAGAGAAAGGGACGGAGAACTATTGAACAATGTGGAATACCAACAACTAATAGACAGGTAGCTCGACAACATCCGGAACAGGCAGACTGTTGTGAAAGGCTTCGCGCAGGCGGGGGATTCACGAGTAATCAAGGATAAATTCCAAAAATAATACTACATGTTCTTATATAGGTTATCTACTTCCTAATCTGGTCAGACCAATAAAATGTACCTTAGGAAGCTGAGACTATAGAGGAAGCATAACGAGGGCGCAGAGCCGAGAGTGCTCTGCGCGGGTCATATCTAAAACGGGCATGACAGATCCATATTGGGCATGACGACCTAAGCGCGTCATGTCGGTATCCCTACCGGCGCGGCTGATGCGCATCCGGCGCCTCAGATACTACAACACAGACCAGCGGTTTTAAACTTAACAGAAAGCATAGCCTTTCGTGGCTGTTCCATGGGCCACTCCCTCTTCCCGCCCTCCCAATCCCCCCCATCGGCAGCTGCATCTCGTGTCCAAGAATTCGCAAAATCAATGACAACGACCCGGGTGGGGTTGTGCGCAGGAACAAGGAGAATGTCCGCCCAACTTGCACCCGCATCGATAACTCCTTCGCTGCTGAGGCAATCACCGCTGTTGATAAAGGAGCGCATCAGGGGCTCTGTGAGGCGTAGAGGATCGATCGTAGCCAGCGGAATGGCGTCGTGGATGTATTCCAGGAAAATGACAAATGGGTTGACAGCGCGAGGTGGTTTGGTCCCGGATAGGTCCAATGTACCAGACCCGTAGAATATCGGCACTGTAGATCCTTGGAGACGCGCAAGATGCTTGTATGCGAGGCACTCGTTGTGGTGCATCCACGCCGCGACCCGAAAGTGGGCAAGTTCACACTTCTGCGGGCTCTCTTCATAGTCTACATCTGGCCCATCCGGCCGCTCGCGTGGATCGAACTGCAGCTGCCCACCGTGAATGCGAGCTGCCTTGGCTTCTGCGATGTGGCGCCACGGACACCGACGAGCGTTGCGCATGAAGCGGGGATCAAAGATCTTGACAATATACGGTGTTTCTGGATGTAGCGGGGAGCCTGGCTGTACGCTTACGAGCCTCACCAAGCGAATCGACTTTATGCTGGAGGAAAAGGGGAGAATTGTGGCGCACATCTCGCCACATTGAGAGTGTCGTAGAGTAACGGTAGAGCCGGGGGCGAGATATTGGAGGATGTAGAAGGCCTATAGTATACAGATGCAGTTCAATTTTTTGAGATGGGGGCTCCCGATGGTTTGGCAATGAGGGGCATGCGGCTGGCGGACTTTATATGCCCAGGTTTTCTATAGTTATCCGCGCACGCCCCTATGTCACAGCTATGACATGACCGTGACATCGCCGTGACATACTTTGCTCGTCCTCGCTGTACATGTGTCCCGAGCCCTGTCTATAACGTTCTGTACTGCATCAGATTATACCCTCTGGAATTTAGAGGCGCAACAACTGGGATAATATGACGGGGGATGCGAGCACGGGAGTGTTTAGCAAGCAGCACCCATCCGGGTCACGCGCGCTTAAACAGCACCCACGGCGCCGTGCATAAGTACAGCTGCGTCACCCCACAGTGATACTGGACCGCTGGTGAGCGCTTTGCTCATGTACTGAGCTCGATTTTGGACACAGGTCATTTTATTGACGAACGCTTGGTGACGGAGCAGGAGTTGCTTTCACGCATCGTCATTCAATTAGAAGGCAAAGCAAACCCGGACTGGTGGACAAGTCTCTGAGTTCATCTGGAGGTAACCCAGTGCAGGCGTTCCGCCACAAAGCTGCTACCCTTTCGGGCGCTGATACCGGCGCGGGGATTGCTCCGCTTACGGATGCAATCGGTCGGCGGTGAAACACTAGCAGTGTTTGATAGCGCGGTGTGAGAGGCTAGCCAAAGCGTACTGTATCGGAAGCATTCCCGCCCATCTTGCCTCGGCTAGCCTCTAACACATGATCCTGCCCACCGCACTATGAAACACTTCTTAAGCAGGACACTTCTCCACGCGACCCTCGCTCATGAGTGTTTCCCCCGTCTCCATTCCTGAAGCCGTACCACAGCCCCTTATAGCCTGAGCGGTGTCCGGGAGACACTCGAGCTACCCATTCCCCGCGGCATGTACTCCCTCTTGAGCGATCTCCCCCCAAGAGACAGCATTTTAGTCGTCGCGACATGCGCCCTAGTACGTGCATGCGTAGACACCTTCAGTGACACTTTGTGAGCTCACGCCTCTGGCATCACAGGCAACTCATCTCGTTTTCAACCGCTTCGAACCCACCGATCTCCCCATAGTCGCCGCCGCACTCCTCGCCCCACCTACCGCACTCTCACCGCTACTCGCCCACAATTATGGCATCCTCGGAGGGATTGCTCTATCGTTCGCCATTTTCTACGCCACGCTCGTCTCCTCGGTCTTTCTATACCGCGTCACGCCGTTTCACCCACTTGCTCGCTATCCAGGCCCGTTCCTCGCCAAAATCACGAGGTGGTATTGGACCCTAATCGCCGTTAAGGGTTATCAGCATATTGAACTCAAACGCTTGCACGAGATCCATGGCGACATCGTCAGAATTGGTCAGCGTTGCGCATACGTTTTTCTGGCGATCTGTCCGCTGATGCCGTGCAGGCCCTAACGAGCTCTCGTTCCGTGATGTGTCGATGGTTCAACATATTATGGGCGCACACGGGATGCCCAAAGGGCCTAGTGATTGTCATCCTTTCTCACCACCTGTTATGTCCCACTAATTCATGTGCAACCAGTGTGGGATGGGCGTGCTTTCAAGCCACCCGTCCTTCCACTTGTCGGCTTGCGTGAAGTTGCCGAACACTCACGGCGCCGTCGACCCTGGAACCGCGCCTTCAGCACGGCCGCACTCAAGGAGTATGAGCCCGTCATCGCGAAGCGCGGCGCCCAGCTCGTCGAGATCCTTGCGGAAAGGAAAGAGGCTGATTTTGCGCGCTGGGTTCATTTTTTAACGTTTGTGTTCATCTTACTGCCGGTGGAGAGCCACTATCTGACTGTGTCTCGTTCAAAGCTTTGATATCATGTCTGACGCGCTCTTCGGTGGTAACCTTGGTGCAGAGATGATGGCCACCGAAGACAAGGATGGTATAATGCGCAGCATGAAGGTGGGCTGGGAGTAAGTTGCTTCAGCTGCCGCGCGGGCTACACAGGACCTGAACGCCATCCTAGGGCTGGCCAGGTTTTTGAACACGTCCCGTGGTTCGGCTACTGGGTGCGATACTTCCCGAAGCTCGGCGCACCTACCCAGAAGTTCCGAGCAATGTGTATCGAGCAGGGCAAGCGACGGTACCAGGACGGCTCGAAGCAAAAAGATCTCTTCTACTACCTGGTGCGCCCCTTCCGATCATTTTCCCACGCCCACTGACAAGCTTGTAGAGCAACGAAGACGGCTCGGAGAAACAGACGCCAGACATAACTACCGTCCTTTCGGACTCTGTACTGGCCATTGTTGCAGGCTCGGATACGACTGCAACTGTGTTTATTAACCTCCTGTACTGCCTCCTACGAAACCCGGAAGCATACAAGCGGCTCCAGGCCGAGGTTGACCAGTTTTACCCGCCTGAGGAGAACTCGCTCGATCCCAAGCATCATCTGAAGATGCCTTACCTCGAAGCCGTCATGTAAGCCTCCCTGGCTATCCATTCTGAAGACGCGCTTAACACAAAGCTGTATTACCATAGAAACGAAACCTTGCGGTTGTTCCCCGTAGTCCCGAGTGGGAGTCCGCGCGCCCCTGAGCGCGGAAGCGGCGGTGCAGTCGTCGGCCCCTAGTACGCCAAATGTCTCACCGCATTGTATCCGCCACTAACGCGCGCCCGCGTGAAACAGTTTCATTCCAGAGAACACCTGTGCGCGCGTGCACTTCTGGTCCGTGCACCACGACGCCCGCAACTTCTCGCTGCCGGAGACGTTCCTCCCCGAGCGGTGGCTCGTCGCCGAGGGCGTCGAGGACGCGCGGGCGGCGGCGCTGGGACTTAGGCCAGGGTCGCTGACGCACAACATGAACGCGTTCGTGCCGTTCTCGTTTGGACCCTGGAACTGCGTTGGCAAGAACCTTGCGCTACTCGAGTTGCAGTGCGTCACGACGCACATGATGCAACGCCTCAACTTTCGCTTCCAGAAAGGCTGGGACCCCTCAATGTGGGAGCCCACTGTGCAGGACAAGTTTGTCGTCAAGACGGGCAGGCTGCCAATTATTGTGGAGAGGAGGTTCTAAAGAGGCACTGCGCTCTGGAGTGGTATAGTCACTTCATTTAACCGGTCGATGACAGTCGACGTGGGGAGTCGGATGTCACATTTTACACTATTTATCAAGTTACAAGGCCTACATTGTACTTCCTGTATGATCACACCACAAATCTTGATCACAGTAGTCCCGGTTCCAGGCTCTCGACCAGCTGTTAGAGATCTGGAATTGTAATGGGGGCTTTCGGAGTTCAAAATCTCCTTGCAATGGTTAGAGCTCTGCACGGAACTTTCAAGATCCGCTAATTAACCATCATAAACTGTTTGTTACTGCCGCGCCCTGCCTCCCGCTTACTCAGCGTCCAGAAATTGAGACTAATTTTTGGCCAAGGAACTGTCCAGACCGCAATGCAGTGAACAATTCAGGATCTGCCAGGGAGGCTTACTTGCGTTCAATTATGCATGCACCATAGCTTTCTCCTGTGCCTTCAACAGCACATGTCACTTCCTGTCTTACCGTCCCATGTCGAGGACATCAAAAAGCTATTGCTCGAAAGGCAGACATCGAGCCAAACAAGATAGCCAAGAGTTTCTCCTGGGTCAACAGGAAATACAGCTCTGTTCGTGGGATCTCAATATCGCAGTTCGATCGTTGAACCTATAAGCAGATGCAAGAAATAATACTATAAAAGACCAAGCTTGCCTTGTTAACCAGGACTCGAAGCTTTGCTTCAGTCCGCGGAGAATCGAACGAAAAGCTTAGATACCAATTTTGAACATTCTGTCTCAAGGGTCGTTGTTCAGAACTAGCAGTGATTTTGTAGTACAACGCCCTGCATGCGCTCACAGGTTGCCCATGTTAAGGCTTGCGAAGCTTGGAGGAGGAAGTAGCACATAGATCGAGAGCCAGGTATTCGCTCACCGAATAACCGCGAGTTGCTATTTCCTATCTGTATGACACAAATGCATTGTTCATGCCTATATACTTTGAAAATTCAGAAAAATCGCGTCTCTCCAAGGCCGCAGACGTCAAAGTCCTCTGCAGGAATCCCGAGCGCGGCGCACTCCTGTGCAAGCAACTGCGGCGGCGCCATGATCTCCTCAGTCGTGAGCATCCACGTCCTGCATGCGCGCATACAGTGAGCCAGAAACTTTGCATCAAGAAAAAAGAGACGGTGAGCTCACCCCCAGTGCATGCCAAGCGCCTTGCGCGCGCGGACGTCCTGGAAGAGCCGCACGCTGTCAACCGGAGAGCAGTGCACGCACGAGAAGAGCTCGCGCGGCGCGTACGCCCTGTAAAGAGAACCGCGAGCCGTCAGCATCTCCGCCGCCCGCTTCACGCCCAGATGGAGAAGCGTGCGCACCCGATGGGGATCAGCGCGAGGTCGAATGGGCCCTCGCGCTCGCCGATCTCGCGGAAGGCCGGGCACACCGGTACCGCAGCCTCGTCCTCGCCTGCCGAGACCGTGCGGTATCCTGTGTCGCCCGCGAACCACACCTTCTTCGGCACATATGCTTCACTAGCCGTTGGTGACACTGTGGAGACGGCCCAGGACGCCCAGAGCGTCGTGCCGCGGTCGAAGAGCGTGCGCCCTGAGATATGCTGGCAGGGTGTGCAAGTGATCCGGAGCTGTGTTTGCGTCGAAGGTGAGTCCTGAGTGCGCGATGGGAGGGTAAGCGAGAGTAGTCGCGCGTCCCACCAGTCAAGGATGTGCGTGTGCGACGCAGGTATGCCGATAGACGCAAGGTAGGGGCCGTTGCCCAGAGGTGCGAAGATCTGTGGGCTGTAGGTCTTGAAGAGTGTCTGGAGGGAAGCGGTGTCGGTGCTTGTATGCGCCTGTGATTAGTAGTATGCCAGGTGGGAAGCGCATTGAACAGAGCGTACTGATCGTAGTGGTTGTGCTAAAGAACAGATGAGAGTCAGAGGATGGAGTGGAAGGCCAGGTGGAAGACGCACAGAGAGGATGATGGCGTCGACAGCGGGTATGGCCTCAATCGGACACGGTACCGCTGTCCACGAGACTCAGTACGGACGAATGGGACACGCAGGAAGACATCTTACGCGTGATGCGTGCGGGACCGAGCCGCGAGAAAGGTGAGCACCGATGCGACAAAGCGGGGTCGAAGAGTACGCGCGGGCCACGAACACCTTCGCCAGACGAGGGGAATTCGACAAGGAAGCATGCGTGTCTATCTCTGGGGTCGCACTAGATCGAGGTCACAGCAACAAAAGACGCACCCTAGCCAGGTTGCCTTGACTGCTTCCGCCTGAGAACCTGCACCCCAGTTGGGTGTATGCGCAGGGATGAGCGACGCGAGGTCTTTAGGGACGGCTGGCATGCTTCTCCATGTATCTACTATAAGCTGCGATGCCGAGGGCGATTAGAGTCTGCATGCATCTTAGGAAGATTCATCTATCACCTTGAGATGCAGACGCGGCACCTCACTGCATAGAGTTGAACAACAGGACGCGGAGGCACAAGGGGAGTACTCACCGAGATGATGGCCATGGGTTCACGAACTTGGTCTGAGTGTCGTCCGCATGATGTGCGGGGCGTACTCCTGTCTTCTCGTGCGACTCTGGCAGAATATCCGATACCGAGACGTGAGTAGCAAGGACGCCGAGTGCAGAGGCCATCGGAGATGTCTTTCGTACAGCAGAATCGACAGTGGTGTGGGTGCGAGATAAGGACGCAGGGCGGATGAGTCCTTGTAAGAGGGAATTAGAGGCGGCAGACATGGACAGCTACGGCTCGCCAAGCCGCAGACTTTGAGTTTGCCCGCAGGGGGCCGGTGGCTGACGTCTCCTCCGGCCGCGCACGAGGGGCAGCATGGGAAGCAAACTTGAAGACCTGTCGTGTTGCGTAAGTCTTTGGCCGTGGTAATCAGTTCCGAGGAGATGCCTCGTCCACTCGCCATCTCCGGACGTGTGAGTGATTGCGACGTACGACATAGCCGTGCGAGGTGGCAGACTGAACAGTCCATCTAGCGTAAACAGGCGTATGCGGCGTTAGGTGACCCCTGGAACGGCCGACTACGTGTACTTACGGCACCCAGATGTTCGTTTGCCCACGGCTTGCGCCGCCGTTTGTCGCCGTGTCCGTAAGCAACTCTTCGCTTGCGAAAGTTTGTTGGCACCCAAACCCAAACTGACCTGTCAGCATCTCTTCGCAAGAACGAACAACGTGAGAAAGTACCAGTGATGCGTCCGTTTCTCGGATCACCCCTATTAGGTGGGTGCCGTCGTTTGCCGCACTGCGCGACGTACGACATGCCTAGAACATCATAGAAGCTAGTCAATATCTTACAGAGCAAGACGGAGAAGGCAATATTGAGAGAATTGGAAGCGGAAGACACCAACAACTGCTAGTCACGGTCGCAAGGGACCCTAGCAAAATCGGGAAGTAACTGCGTGCAAGCAACACTGTGTATTTCGGAGCATGCGAGAAATAATCGCGCATCGCGAAGCCGCCATATACAGTGTGCAAGGTGAACAATCTAGATGAATTACCGGCGAATCCCACTCTACTAGTGATGTGCAGACGTCCGTCCAAATATTTGGATGAGCCGACGACTTAATGATTAAACGCTGTTTGGGCGGTCAATGCAGTAACCAGTCAGAAGCCGTTCGGAGGTCGCCGCCACCCCGGAAGCGCCAGGCTCGTCGTCCCAGGGCACACGGAAGAGATTCTCATTCTGCAATGGCAATGAGATTGGCGCAGAGAATGACAGAAACAATAGGAAAGTATAGCTCATACAATGCTGATGTCACTATGTGAGCAGACCGTGCAGCAGAGTGCTTACGCACCAAGGAGGTGAGATCTTAATGAGTCCCCAAGACTAGACAGTAGAGTTCTCAGGTACGGCAGCAGAGATACACCATGGGCCTGCCCAAAAAGTCCCACTTCCAAGTGCTTCAGGCATGTTCCTGCTCACATTGTTGCCCGCACCATTGAAATTCGCGCACAGCTCGTACGTGTGTGCATGCGGCACGGTGCGGCAATGTTCACTGCATGCTGCTAAGCACACACCAGATGAAACTCACCTCATTTCTACAGAGCACTGGTTTACTCATCCAAGGCGACCCGTCGGTGTGCCCAGCCCAGGCGTTGATGGAGTGCACAACGTCAACTATCAACGCTCCGCTTGCTACAGCAGCATGATCCTCTGGTTTACGCTAGTACCCTGGTCCTTGACAGATGGTGCGAAGTCCCCATTCATGTACTGTGTGGTCAGCACGAGGCTCAGGGCACGATTGAATTTAGACCACCATGATGGTAAAGAGAGTGAAGGGATGGCGAGAGGTCGGGCGGGACCATTCGTAAGATGCAGATAGGCACACCTACGGCTGTATACAACTGAAGTGAAACGAGATGTCAGTCAGGGTCACGAACAAAGAGAGCGGGTGCAATGCACATACAGTTCCGTTCCTGACCGTCTCGGTAGATGTTCGATGGTGACTGCGCCAAGGAACGTTCGACCACCTAGTTCCTTCCAGGCCGCTCAGATGCTGGCGGCACCGCTATCCGGTATCAACCTTAACTCCAATAGATCTTCCTCAGTAAAAGTAGACGTACCCTCGTGTGCAAGGGTTGTTCATTGGCCATTGGACGTCCGCGCCCGCACCAACATTTGGGGGCAGACGCAGCAGCCTATCAATTTCCCTCTTGACCCTGCCCATCCTGTCTCAAGGGTCGTTGTTCAGGACTAGCAGTGATTTTGTAGTACAACGCCCTGCATGCGCTCACAGGTTGCCCATGTTAAGGCTTGCGAAGCTTGGAGGAGGAAGTAGCACATAGATCGAGAGCCAGGTATTCGCTCACCGAATAACCGCGAGTTGCTATTTCCTATCTGTATGACACAAATGCATTGTTCATGCCTATATACTTTGCAAATTCAGAAAAATCGCGTCTCTCCAAGGCCGCAGACGTCAAAGTCCTCTGCGGGAATGCCGAGTGCGGCGCACTCCTGTGCAAGCAACTGCGGCGGCGCCATGATCTCCTCAGTCGTGAGCATCCACGTCCTGCATGCGCGCATACAGTGAGCCAGAAACTTTGCATCAAGAAAAAAAGAGACGGTGAGCTCACCCCCAGTGCATGCCAAGCGCCTTGCGCGCGCGGACGTCCTGGAAGAGCCGCACGCTGTCAACCGGAGAGCAGTGCTCGTTCGAGAAGAGCTCGCGTGGTGCGTATGCCCTGCAAAGAGAACCGCGAGCCGTCAGCATCTCCGCCGCCCGCTTCACGCCCAGATGGAGAAGCGTGCGCACCCGATGGGGATCAGCGCGAGGTCGAATGGGCCCTCGCGCTCGCCGATCTCGCGGAAGGCCGGGCACACCGGTACCGCAGCCTCGTCCTCGCCTGCCGAGACCGTGCGGTATCCTGTGTCGCCCGCGAACCACACCTTCTTCGGCACACCTGCGTCGTCGGCTGTTGGCGTCACTGTGGAGACGGCCCAGGACGCCCAGAGCGTCATGCCGGGGTCAAAGAGCGTGCGTCCTGAAATATGCTGACAGGGCGTGCAAGTGATCCGGAGCTGCGTTTGCGTCGCAGGCAAGTCCTGAGTGCGCGATGGGAGGGTAAGCGAGAGCAGTCGCGCGTCCCACCAGTCAAGGATGTGCGTGTGCGACGCAGGTATGCCGATAGACGCAAGGTAGGGGCCGTTGCCCAGAGGTGCGAAGATCTGAGGGCTGTAGGTCTTGAAGAGCGTCCGGAGGGAGGCGGTGTCGGTGCTTGTATGCGCCTGTGATTAGTGGTATGCCAGGTGGGAAGCGCATTGAACAGAGCGTACTGATCGTAGTGGTTGTGCTAAAGAACAGATGAGAGTCAGAGGAGGGAGTGGAAGGCCAGATGGAGGACGCACAGAGAGGATGATGGCGTCGACAGCGGGTATGGCCTCAATCGGACACGGTACCGCTGTCCACGAAACTCAGTACGGACGAATAGGACACGCAGGGAGGCAGCTCACGCGTGATGCGTGCGAGACCGAGCCTCGAGATAGGTGAGCACCAATGCGATAAAGCGGGGTCGAAGAGTACGCGCGGGCCACGAACACCTTCGCCAGACGAGGGGAATTCGACAAGGTAGCATGCGTGTCTATCTCTGGGGTCGCACTAGATCGAGGTCACAGCAACAAAAGACGCACCCTAGCCAGGTTGCCTTGACTGCTTCCGCCTGATGACCGGCACCCCAGTTGGGTGTATGCGCAGGGATGAGCGACGCGAGGTCTTTAGGGACGGCTGGCATGTTTCTCCATCTATCTATTGTAAGCTGCGATGCCGAAGGCGGTTAGGTCCAGCATGCGTCTTAGGAAGATTCATCTATCACCTTGAGACGTCGATGCGGCACCTCACTGCACAGAGTTGAACAACGGGACGTGAAGGCACAAGGAGGGTGCTCACCGATATGACGGCCATGGGTTCACGAACTTGGTCTGAGTGTCGTCCGCATGATGTGCGGGGCGTACTCCTGTCTTCTCGTGCGACTCTGGCAGAATATCCGATACCGAGACGTGAGTAGCAAGGACGCCGAGTGCAGAGGCCATCGGAGATGTCTTTCGTACAGCAGAATCGACAGTGGTGTGGGTGCGAGATAAGAAGGACGCAGATCGTCGTTTGTTGCACTGCGCGACAAGGTAGGCTCGTCCCATGCCGGTTTCTTGTGAAACCCGTCGCATCCCTTGCCCAAATGGGATGCAATAAAACGCACGTGGTCCCCCACGGAGCGCAGCGACTGGACCTGGCTTGCGAGTCTACTGCGCGACATACGGCATGCCTAGAATATTACCACAGAAAACTAGTCAATGTCTTACAGAGCAAGACGGAGAAGGCAATATTGAGAGAATTGGAAGCGGAAGACACCAACAACTGCTAGTCACGGTCGCAAGGGACCCTAGCAAAATCGGGGAGTAACTGCGTGCAAGCAACACTGTGTATTTCGGAGCATGCGAGAAATAATCGCGCATCGCGAAGCCGCCATATACAGTGTGCAAGGTGAACAATCTAGATGAATTACCGGCGAATCCCCACTCTACGAACGCTTCTACGCCAGAACCTTTCTAAGTAGCGCCTCGATTTTCCCACTCAGACTCTCCAGCGCTGCGTTCAGCTCCGGGCCCGGATTTTCAGTGAACCACGAGCTTGGTCGGTCATACTGGATCTTGGTTCCGCCTTCTTTTGTGGCTTGCACGAGCACGCGCGCTGGACAGCCCAGGGCCGTCGTGGAGTCGCGCACCATCATGTCCTTGGGTTTCCGAGCGTGTAGAGCACGAAGTCATCGAACTTCTGCCCGTAGTAGTTGCCGAGCCATTTGGAGTGGAACTGTTCAGAGAAGAACCTAGGGTTGCGAGGGCGAGTCAGCGGTCTGGGCGGACAAGAATATCGGATCGACGTACACGAAACTTCTTTTGTCAGAGTCGGTGAGTGCGCTCATACCCCGCTCGATCTCCTCCTTGCTCTTGGCACTGCCCAGGATCTCCTCCACGTGAGGTCCGGCCCTGTTCGTCTCCTCGTCCAGGGATTCAATGACTTTGTCAAAGGGCTTCGAGGAAACGAGGGTTATCCTCTCGGCAGTATAGCTATGGGACTCTGAGCTGACGGCGAGAGACATCGAAGTGACTTGGACTGCCTAGTGAATGCCTAAGTTCGTGGACACCTCTTATACACCACTGTATACTGCAGGGCCGACCCCGAGGCCGACTCTCCCAATCCTTCCCCATGTACCCATGGATTATAGACTGGAGATCTGCAGCGTGTTCGATCAGTCTCGTGCCTCGGGTGTCGCATCTTGTGGGAGTTCTGCTAATCTCCGGGCCGCAGAACGCGAGAGAAAAGCACCTTATAGATATCATACGAAGGGAGATAATTTGTGATTAAGTAACACACACCAGCTTAACAGTCCGGCTATCATGTACGAGGCTAGCTGTTGCTACAGATTTCGAGTTAGAGAATCGACGAATCAAATGCAAACCGTCGAGAATATGATGCTGAAAATTACAGGGCAAGTAATTTGGCAATATCAGGGACAAGCAGCCCGGCAGCCTTGAATTCGATAGTAAGCATGACCTTACGCGCGTGTTCGACGTCCCACTCAAGCTTTGCTTCCTCCCAGTCCTTTCCGCCATCGAGTTCACGAGTCTGCAAAGTCAACGAGCACAACATGGCTCGGCTTGTGCGCAGGGACAAGAAGAAAGTTAACTTGATTTGTATCCGCATGGATAACCCCGTGGCTCGTCAGGAGATTGTTACTGCTGATAATAGAGCACATGGGAGGACGTGGAGAGTCGATCGCGGCGAGCGAGATGGAGTCGCGGATGTACTCCAAGTATATTACCAATGAGTTGACGGTGCGAGGGGGTTCGGATCCGCATAGGTCCAATGTACCAGACTCATAGAAGACCGGCACTAGGTAGACCCTTGGAGACGCGCAATATGCTTGTATGCGAGGCACTCGTTGCGGTGCATCCGCGCCGTGGCCTGGGGAGGCGCTAGTTCCCATTCCTCTGGGATCTCCTCGTACCGTTTGTATGGTAGATATGGACGCTTCTTTGGATTGAACTATAGCTGACCGTCATGACTGCGAGCCGCCTCGGCTTCAGCGGTGTACCACCATGGGCGGTCAGAGCGGCGCCTATAACGCGGGTCGAAGATCTTGACGATGTATGGGGTATCTGAGCGCAATGAGCTGCTTGTTTGGACATGTACAAGCCTCACCCAGACGACTTGGTAGGTAGACTTCGTGCCAGGGGAGCACGTGAGAACTATCGCGCTCATTTTGCCGCACTGGGAATGCCGCAGAGTAACTGTAGAGCCGAGAGTGAGATATTGAGGAGGTTCATGGGATGAAGGAAGGAATACCAAAATTATATACAGAACAGTCTCAAAGGCGAAATACCATCTATGGCAATGTGGAGATAATGTGGGTCGGAATGGAGATTATCTACCAGCTGTGGAAGTATTGCGATGCTGCGCGGCATACTACAACACTGGATTTCTGGATTGAATCAGAACAAGTTAGCTTATAAACCTGCTCGCGGCGGCCTAGAGATGTCATACTTTTTCAACTCGACTGGCGATAATACGTCACACTGGTTTTCCGGTGGCCCCGTCAATACTGCACCGCTACAACCAACTGTTCATGCCACGGTCACATACTGACACTGGAATATGAGCTAGCCGAGAGTACAGACCGGCCTGGGTCATCAATCCAGGTGGGCTTCGTGGTACGTCTACGGTGCCAGTTGTTGACTGATATGGCAGATCGGCACGTTAAGCGCTCTGGCCTTCGTCTAGATAACAGAAATGAGTACATAAATACCAGAGAGTCGTAGAAAGAGAGCCCGCATCCCACACACCTGCTTCAAAATGCTCCTCCGTTTGGCTGTCGTCCTGGCCGCTGCCACCGGAGGCCTTACAGCCAAGGTTGCAACTGCGACCGCGGCAGCACCTGCCACTAGCACTGTTGTCAGCTGCTTCGCAAACGACTGCCCGAACGTCGACCTCAAGGGCGACGGTCTCTTCTCCATGGATTGGAACAACGACACCGGTGTCCTCCTCTGCGAATGGCGCTTTCCGCTCCAGCCAATTATTTCTGCGGAGTACAATATCGTTAGTCCGCAATGTTCACTGCATGCTGCTAAGCACACACCAGATGAAACTCACCTCATTTCTACAGAGCACTGGTTACTCACCCAAGGCGACCTGTCGGTGTGCCCAGCCCAGGCGTTGATGGAGTGCACAACGTCAACTATCAACGCTCCGCTTGCTACAGCAGCATGATCCTCTGGTTTACGCTAGTACCCTGGTCCTTGACAGATGGTGCGAAGTCCCCATTCATGTACTGTGTGGTCAGCACGAGGCTCAGGGCACGATTGCATTTCGACCACCATGATGGTAAAGAGAGTGAAGGGATGGCGAGAGGTCGGGCGGGACCATTCGTAAGATGCAGATAGGCACACCTACGGCTGTATACAACTGAAGTGAAACGAGATGTCAGTCAGGGTCACGAACAAAGAGAGCGGGTGCAGTGCACATACAGTTCCGTTCCTGACCGTCTCGGTAGATGTTCGATGGTGACTGCGCCAAGGAACGTTCGACCACCTAGTTCCTTCCAGGCCGCTCAGATGCTGGCGGCACCGCTATCCAGTATCAACCTTAACTCCAATAGATCTTCCTCAGTAAAAGTAGACGTACCCTCGTGTGCAAGGGTTGTTTATTGGCCATTGGACGTCCGCGCCCGCACCAACATTTGGGGGCAGACGCAGCAGCCTGTCAATTTCCTTCTTGACCCTGCCTCGCATCGGGCGAGCTCCAACTGGTGTCAAGTTTAATATCAGATTCGCCTTGCTAAACACACTGGGCACACACGCTTCGATTATCGGACGACGGACCGTTCAATTGGTGACGGCCCGACTGAAGTTCCCGCAGCAGCGATCACCGTGTGTTACGTCCATCATCTGCGCACCCGCCGCCACAAAGAGGCGATATACCAGCGCAGTAGGTTGCTAGCAGTGCGCTAGAATCATTGACGGGCTCTAGAGTTCAGGACGAAGGTACGGGGGAAAGAGCTAGATTGACGGTGTGGTACGTGGCTATTCAGGAGTGTAGATACGAGACTAACAAAAGTCAGCATGCGAACGCTGGGCGAGTCAAAACGACATACCAGCTAATCTTTGCTCCCTTGTGGTGTGGCAAGCTTCTTCGGCTTCTCCTCGCTAGCCTCCCAAGTCTTGAGGTGTGTCTCAAACCACTCCCAAGCAAGCCTGCCAACCTTCTCTCCACCATACTCACCATCATCCTCGATATCGAGCTCTCCATCCTGCAAGTTCGTCTCGTCCTTACCCTTCTTCTGTTGGGTCTTCTTCGTTTTTGCGGCCTTCTCACCATCCTTTGCCTCCTCCGATGACTGTTCAGCGGCCGGGGGAAGGGACGGGAGGCGGAGTGTCACAACAGAGCATTCGCGATAAAGGGCTCCGGGTTTGAGAATCTCGGTGAGGGTGTTTGGAATTAAGCTTGGAGTCTTCTCTGCACCCTGAGTCTCATCGATTTCCGAGGATGTCTTAGCGGCAGTAGCAGTTGCCGCAGCGAGGTGAGCCAAAGCCCTCTTGAACGGTGTCGGCAAGAACAGCGCGTGGAGTACTATCTGCACTGCCATGTTCGACGACTTTGCAAAGATCCAGATCTCCGGTAAGCATAGAATAAACCTGACGCGTATGTAATTAGACAACATTTGAATGGTAAACCGTTGTGACTTACAAAATGAAGCCAAAGGTCGAATAACCATCAGGATCCACAGTCTTGTCCGCTCCCATTGCGATACGAATCGTCTCCGTGCGACTCATACCGGGAGCGACAGTGACGGCAACAATGTTCGACGGGAACTTGGATTTGCTCTTGTCTTCGGCGCCGGCATTTGATTCTTTGGCTGTGCTACCACCGGCAGAGGATTGGGACTCTACTGGTACACCCCCTGGTGTCTTCAAGTCAAGCGAAGGCGCGCGATTCGGAAGGGCATTCAATATCCTCTGGAGGTGGCGCGTCAGAACGATTGTACGCAGCGCACGATGACCTTCTGCCAAGAACAGGGAACGCTTCTTCGGCGATTCTCCTGGAGTCATAGAGGCTATCAGGTCGGAGCTGAACGAGGGCACCGCTGCAGCATAATACGGGTTGACGACGCTGACGATGCGGATGTCGCGTTCTACGGGTGCCACAAGGAACGCAGGGAGGAGTAGCGTGACTATCAAGAACGTCGCCAACGAAGCAGCTTCCCGCTTCTTCTCGTGCGACGGCTTGGATGCAAAGAGCGACCCAATTCCATAGTACTCGTGTGCAAAAACGATAGCGTCTAGCCGTTGGTCGCCTTCCGTTAGGAACTTGGTGCAGAACTCGCGAATGGAAACGGGTGATGATAGGTCTGCATGCTCCGCGAATATGTTCTCATTCTTCGCCGTCGTGCGCAGTGCCGGGATGATAAGCGTGTTGAAGGGATGATCAAGAGGATATGGTGAGATGGCAATGATATTCGCGCCTCGTGACGCGAGGCCAGAGATGGTAGTTAGCCCAAGCGGCGTGAAAGCTCCCTACTAGACTTCAATTACACGCGCGTCCGGAAGCGAACCACTGCGACTTACGGTTACGAGGATTGTCCGTGCATGGAGGTCTCGCTCCCTGTCCGTCGTCTTTCCTTGGGCAAACGCATAGGTCACGACAAGTGAGGTGATGCCGATGGCTGCGTGCCAGTAGTATCCTGTTGGTAAAACATAGGTTGCTAACGCATACGCCGCCTTGAGAACCATGTACGCACTGTAAACGAGCAAGACAAAAGTCAAACAGCACTTTCGGCTAAATGTACATCGCCTCACATACGATGAAGGAGTGGTGGTGTCGTAGAGGGACTAGACTGGATGTGCCGCAGCCGTCGTGGTATTAGGTAGAGCTGTGAGCGCTGTGAGCGCCCACACCACGCCGTAGCCTTCCTTCCGTCCCGCTGCCGGCAAAGCGTATGTCTCTCGAGCACAGAACTAAATGCATGCAGAGTTATGCTAAGATACATTTGCTTTTATGTACGCTCCAAAAACTGTCTAGTCGTCTTCGTCCCAGTTACCAGCTTGCTGCGGGACTTTCGGTCCGCCAGCAGGCTTGCTCATGATGATACTGTCCACGGTCAGTACCGAAACTGCGGCCTCGGTCGCAAGGCTGATTGCCCAGGACTTAGCAGCGAGCGAATCTAAGATTCTGTGTTCGGTGGTGCTGAGCGTACCGTCGCTCTGGGCCTGTGAACATTCGGTGAATATACCATTTACTCGTGCTCTGTGGAAGTTGGATGCGTACCTCGACGTCGACACCCCATGCCGCCCCACCTTCCTGCTCGTGCTTTGCCCAAAGCTTGCTGACAACCTCATTGCCCTCAGCGCCGCCCAGCGCGTTCTCGGCCAGCGTTCTCGGGACGACCTCGAGCGCGGTCGCCCACCGACGGACGCCATGTTGCGAGAGTCCCTTCAGGCCTGCACCATACGAATCCACGCGCCTAGCGAGTTCTAGCTCAGTCGCACCGGCGCCCGGGACCAAACGGCCGTCCTTGAGCAATGCTTTGATGACGTTCACGCCGTCATCGACGGCGCGCTCCAGGTCGTCTAGGTGGTTGATCGTCGCTCCGCGGAGAACAACGGTCGCGGTTCGCGTCTTTTCACCGGAAGTCTCTAAGGGGTCATAGCCTGGGTCGCCTTCAACGAGCTGGCGGAGAACAGTGACACGATCGCCACCGATCTCGACGGTCTCGAAGACATCGACAAAACCAGCCTCTTCAGGGGTCGGGGCACCCATACGGGCCAGAGGAGTTGCATTGACGACACGGCAGAGGCGGCGGAGGTCGAACTTCGACAGCACCTTGAGGACGGCAATGTTCATCCGGTTAAGGAAGTGCAGGGCCAGATCGTCAATCGTCGATCCAGCGATTATGACCTTCACTCCAGAGTCGGCGATCTCTTGGAAGATCTAAAAGACTATCAGTAAAGTGTTCGGTATCATGCAAGGTTTTTTCAACGTTACGGACCTTCTCCATGTGTTTCTCTTCGCCAGTGGTGAAGTTGAGCATCTCATCCTTATTCTTGATGAGCACGGTGCCCTTGGTCTCCGTTTGGGAGAGACCGAGACCACAAGTGAAGACAGCGACTTTGGCTTTCTTGGTCTTCTTGCAGATGCCTTGACGCATGTAAGCACTTGCAGCAAGCTAACCTGAGAACCAAGCGAGCACACCTTCTGGCTCCCGACCGAACACCATACCGCGTACAACTTTGCTGCCCGCCAAACTTCCGCCCATGATCTTCACTACTCGAACGTTGTCGACGTTGAAGTTCTTAGGATTTGGTGGCATCACCGCAAGCGCAGCCTCAGCGACAAGAGATGAAAGCGTGTCCTCGTAGCCGTATTGTTTTGATGCAATGGCGGGCTTGAGGGCAATAGCAAGCTCAGCCTGCGTCAAGGGCGTCGAAAGTGAAGATGTGGACAACGCTGTGTAGCATGAGTCGACTGGACAGGCAAAATAACCACGGGCTACATACTCTCGAGCTCTTCCAGACCCTTCTTTGCAGCAAGTTCGTATCCACGAGTAATCTCACTTGGGTGAAGACCCATGATGAGTAGATGTTCCGCTTTCTTCAGGAGCTCGCCAGCAAGAATGATGACCATGTTCGTCGCGTCACCCATCTGGGCGGTCGCGTGTTAGAGCTCGATTGCGCTGCAGCAATCGGGGGCAGCTCACCTCTGCCTCCTGAGCCTGTGATGCCATGACTAGCAGTTTTGCGGCAGGATGTACGACCTCAACCTCGCGGATGATTGTTGCAGCATCGGACGTGACAAAAAGCTTGCCTAAGTGGTTAATGAGAAGCTTGTTGCGACCTGTGCAGTCCATATGAGCATAATAGATTGAAAGTGCGAGCTGAGTGGTGCGCACCGTTGGGCCCAAAACTTGTCCTAACGAGATCTGACAGTTCTGAGACAGCCTGGATATTCCTTAGGACAGCATCCTCAAGACCTTGCAGATGCTAAGTTCAACGCATGCTGTGAGCACGAATACAGCACATAGGGCAGCGAACGCACCTTGTAGCCCTCCTTAAATAGCTGGATATTGTTCGCCTTTGGAACTTTGAGAGACATAGCCGACTATGACTGTGTTTTGTAGGGGACACGATGACACAAGCGTCGCGCACAGTAGTTTTCGGTGAAGTCCAGGGCGCTCAGCGTTCGAGATCTGATGGAACGTCTTTTCCCACGCCTTCCTGCCTCTAACCCGCGATGCTCTACACATGCAAGTGGGGTCCATGTCCTGGCACGTTTCCTTCTCGCACTGCGTATGTCGACCACCTCAATGCCCAGCATCTGGACGACGCCGCGCTGGACAGGGATGTTGGCTATGTGCAAGGACGTTTCCGCGACTGGCTGAGGGTCACGGGTAGAGATACTGGAACGCAGAGTACGACCGGTACGTCACGGTAGACCGCAAGGTTCGCTGTTACTTACAGTCAATCTAGATGATTTGCTGTTGCGCCGCGTAACGGATAATTTCAAGGCTCAAACACAAGGGATCTCGCGTGACAACATCCGGATAAGAGCATTGTATACCTCCTTGCCTTCAGAAGCCGCTGCTCAGTCTAGTGACTCTGAGGACGATCATAATACCGGAAGATTTAGCTTCAAGTCGCTCTCCAGAAGGCGGAACGCACCTGCGAGCTCCCCAACACCACCCATCTCTTCTGTTGACCCGTCTCCTTCTCCGAGTGCTCTCGTTAGCAGAGGGCAGTCACATATTCCGGATCTTCCATCTACGCCATCTCCACAGCTGTCGCTACGCACTCAGAAATCACCAGCCAACCCTCGTATCTTGCGGGACGGTAGCCCAGATCGTAAACGACGTCGCTTGGACAATGCGGCGGCGAACAAGGCCACGGAGCGTAGTTCTTCTCTGGCAACTCCTCGATCTGCTTATGGTAGTAGTGTTCTTATCCATGCTTCTGAGAATAAGGGAGAGCCTAGTCACGGTTCCAGACCTTTGCAGAAGTCTGACTCTGAATCGAGCGAAGAAATTGAGCTCGAGTTGACTCAGGATAATCCTGTGGAAGACGGAGAAGGTGCGATTTTTCGTCTGTGTCGTGCGACACTGCTAACTAGAAATCATCTAGAAGGGTCCCCAGACAGAGGAATAGTGGGCCTTGCTGAATTAGATATTGAAAGACTAGAGCATAACATCAGGGATGTTCTCCCAAGCCAACAACAATCAGAAGACCAAGATCCCGATGCTCTATCGTCACTGGCAGCTGTACATCGACAAATGTCGCAACAACAAGTACCGTCGCGACCGGACACGGACAACAGTGAGTGGAGCATACGTCGAAATATCTCAGTGAGATTACTCACTATCGCTGTAGCTGCGGAAGATGGGCTGCCAATCCTCAACGTCAACACTCATTCTGGCTCATGGTCTCAGCCGGGCACCGTGTCCAAAGTGAAGACCAGTTTCATTCCACGACTGAAGTCCAGCATCCTCGATATGTCCGGTCAGTGCTGATATTTTTCGAGATATCCGTTGTCGCAATCTGACAGTATGCGTGCAGACGTCACCGCGGGCCGACCACCCACTGGCAGTCCAGAGCATACTCAAAGCGAGATCCAGCCAGAATCCCAGCAGCAGAGCGTCGATGCTGACGCAGAGCCCTCAGGCTCTCAGGCTGTTGCCTCTGAACCAAGCCAACTGCAGCTGCTGACACAAGCGCCGTACCACTTTCCCAGTCAGGATTCGCAGGACTCGCAGAAGCAACAGCCGTCGCCACCCTGAAAGCGCTGCTCTGCGAGCGTTTGCGCCGTTATCCCAGCGCCGGCGTCTTGGTTTCGGAGTATCATGGCAGAATGTGGCGTAGAAGCGTCGTTGTCTACCTGTGAGACTAGAGGGTCCACAAGCAATGTCCTCCCCGTACTTGTGCTATAGTATGCAACGATGATGCAAACTAGCATCCTCGCGAGACGCTGCCGGACTCTAGCTCGAGAGCGCGGACGGAATCAACAGGACGGTAGAGCATTGGTTCACGGCTGTACGTTGTGTGATACTAATAATGACATGGATACCTCGTTTAATAGCTCTTGCTGAGAGTCGCATGATATAGACTACCGGACAGTGTGCGAGCCCAACTGCTCCGGATCCTATGGCCGCCCTCCCTCCCGGGGCCGTTGCCTAGGCCCACAGCCCGCAGCCGCCCCTAAAGCCTACACGCTGATCTCCCGAACCAGACTGCAACTGTATGTTGTGGTTTTCCGTTCGGAAAGGAGTGCGGTGAGCAGAAACGTTTCCCTTGTATCGATCGCCGGCAATCACGCACTAGTAAGTACTGTAGCGCCGAACCCAGGATGTTCCCGTTTGTGCAAAGGGCTGTTGGCACACATCGTTGGCACATACTCAACATACTCTGTCGAGAACGCTATTGCGTCAAGTCCCACTGTCGTGTGTGAGATTGTGCGCATAATCCATCTGGCTTGGAACGAAGAAAGAGAGCGAGCACCATCACACAAAAAGCGCGGGTGTATACTACAACATATCTTATGTAGAATTCCTTCCCGGGTAAAGTAATTTTGCAGCTTTAGCGCGCTCTGTGGCTATCCAGCGGATAAGATTAGTACTCAGTGTGCTCTCACACTCATCTACCTCCCGTCAAACTCTTTGTGCTGTTTAAATTCGCAATATGCAGTCATTCATACAAGTACAAGTGCATATCAGACAACCTCTGATGCGCCGTAGCCGCTGGCTGTGGCATTCATCTATTTAATGTCCATCCAGGTGATGTCCTCGAACTCCTTATCATTCGATTGTGCGGCGGTGAGCCCGAGCTTACCGGTCGAGGACTCATAAGCTAGGCAGCCAACGGTTTCACAGTCAGCACGCAAGCAGCGCTGTGCAAGAAGACTACACTTACGGATGAACTAGCGTGCCAGGGCATCAACAGACCATCATTAAACCACAGTTCAGCTGCTATGCATGCGGGTGAAGGAAAAAAGCGTGACGTACGTAGGCCGTAAAGTCTTCCGCCGCCCCCTTGCTGTTGTACTCGTAGAATACAATGCGGTCGTTGCTGTAGCTCGCTTTACCGCCGCGTCTGATTTGGCTCTTGTCTTTGAAATATAGAATACCGTGGACGTCTGTATGTGCAGAAGAACATGAGTACGCTGCGCCCATAATCACGGAATATGAGACGAGACATACCGACAGTTTCGTCTTTGAGCCATTGATAGTTGTCAGAGATCTTTGCCTGGGTTTGGATAGAAGTCGCGGCGAGATAGATGTCGTCAGAATTAGCATCTTTGGTGACCACCGCTGTTGCGCTGCCTTGTTCAAGCTCCTGCCACTTGCCGAAATATTTGTATCCGTCCATGCCACATGCTGTTACAGTTTCCTCCTTGTTTGAAGACGAAGTTGAGGAAGACTGTAGACAATAAAATCGAAAGAACACACCTTATCATAGGCAAGGAACTAACGGTGATATGGCGGTTACAAAATGGTCAGAAGATTACATATCAGAGCAAAACACCGGAGGCACACCTCTGCGTAGCTACTATTTTCCCCACGGTTATAAAACTTGATCGAGGAGCAGGGCTTGCTGTCCGACGGATTTACGACCCTCGCGACGAGGTATGTGGTATCTTTCGTGTTGAGTTTGAGATCGCGGATCTTGTTGTAGTAGAACGTGCCCTCGGGATCTGCACGTCGCCATGTTTGACATAAGCACGGAAAAGTGGGCAGAAAGAGGGTGATAAATGACGTACCCTTGCCGATGTTGGTCCCGTCAGTAAATTCCCTGCCGATTTCAGAGACTTCAAGGCGCAGTGCGTGAGGCCGACTAATGCGATCCGGGTCGGCCTTGAAAAAGAGCGCCTCGGCAGCAACATTGTGCTTGTATTGTTTCTTGAGGTCGGAGAATAGGTCAGTCATATCTCGCTTGCTCTGCGCACGTAGAAGAGGGTGTGGAGGATGGGTCTGAAACCTCACTCCGATCGGACTCGCATATATACGCCTGCCTCGCGCTGCGTCAGGCGAGAGGCAGGCGAAACTTAACTGCTGCCGGGAAGAGATCCAGCTTGCTTTCTCACCGTACACTCAGCTGTCGTTCGCCCCAGTGTGATGTTTCTTCCTATATCGAGCGATCATCTGATCCAACCTTGCAAGGCAGCTCCGCAGGCCCAAGTTCAAGATGAAGGTAGGGCATGGCCTGTCTGGGAGTAGGCTTCACGTTATTCAGACAAAGTGCCAGCGTTGGTTAGCAGCAGCGCTGGACCAACACGAGCCGAATCAGAATGAACTTAGTGAGCCCATGCCAGAAGGGATCTCAAGCTTACATGCAGCATATGAAGGGAATTAGGCGAGTGTCAGGAAAGGGTCTATTGCATGGCTGACATCGTCCTTCGTGAGCTAGCGAAACGCTAGAGCTTGGTGAGAACCGCCCGACAGGGTGTGGTCCCGAGGCCACTGCACTGGTCTGTCTGTGGAATGTTGTGCACGTTCATGAGTCATTGGCCACGTTCAGGCACGGGATGACTGCTCCCAGCCGTCTACCCACCGGCCAACTGCACGCCTCTTCGATGTAGAGGGTCGTAGTCGGAAACCGAGAGCTTTCTGCCTGCTGACATGTGTGTCAGCAGTCAAGGTACAAATAGAGGTACAGTTCTTACCTCCATACGAGCGTTCTTCTCATGAGGACGAACGGCAAGTCTTCTATTCAGTGCCACAGCCAGTGGCCGTACGCGTGATGGAACGGCGACGGC